AGATTCTGTGTCTTGTGGTTGGTATTGGGTCCTGATTCTGAACTCCTATGACAGTGAGCACATTCCCTCTCTTCTGTGATTACTTGCTACATTATATTCAGTTCTTTGAACTTTGTTATAATCATTTAATCCATTTGTATTATCTGTAAAGTATACTACTGAATATATACCAATATTGTACAACAATAAACCAGTTTTGTCTTTGATGAATCTAAAACGTTCATAACAAAATTGAATATTGTTAATATATTTGATTTTGATTGTAATGTTTTAGACATGACATGATGATCAGTAAACAACACATGTAAATTGTTTCATGGTGGATTTTCTCCTTTTCAGAAGTCATTCTTTTGAGTTATTTCTGATGCCTCATCCTCGGTGACAGTCGAACAGTGAACCCCCAGTGGCCAAACTCAGACATATGTCAAAACCATTAAAACAGCAATCCTTCAATCTATTTTTCCACTCCCAATTCTCATCTTATCCACTTCTTCATTTCCTCTCTTTGACCCACACCTATCTCTGTGTCCCTCCCAAACACACAAAAAGGATTATACAGTGATGGAGTGTGAAATGAAAGATAGGGGAGACCTGTAGGTGATCGTTCATGTGATTTGTACCATTGATTCCTGTCTTATAGCTGAGCAATGTTATATAAAAGTGCTTGATGCACCACAGCTAATAAACCTAGCCCTGTTGTAGACAAAAGTAAACTAGCAGCCATCACCTTTCTCAGTGTTACTTATTCTGGCTTTAATAGATGGATAAATGCATTTTTTGGTCTGAGCGTTTGTCATCTGTTCAAACAATAAACGGAGCGGCATGCACCAGCAAGCATTCTAACAACACAAGGCCAATGGTGAGCCACCAGCCCACAGATCTTGCTATCTATTATCTGCATAATATGCAAAGGGTTGTTATTCTGTGCCACAGCTCCAGATATCATGCTGCAGATGCCCGTCAGAGAGGCAGCATGGCCTCCCACCTTCACTCATTCCTTTGTCGATTTTGCAGTATTGAAACTACAACTGCCTCCCTGGTTGAGACAACTGCAGTCGTACAAAATGTTTGCACTCAATCGGAGAAGGGGCTGACATCCAGCCTGAGGCCCTTGGTAGGGCCGTCGCTGAGGCCATTTCTCACCACGATTACGGGTCTTTCATCTGTCGCTGCTCAGTGTTTTATGTTTTGTTGTTTGTTCGTTTGTTTCCTGTCTGCAGGAGCTGGACCTGGAGGCACTGCAGTCATTGGCATCAAACACACTCGGGCCGAGCATGCGTAAAGGCCAGAGTAGCTGCTCGTCACTCTCCACAGATGTTGTGACACAATACTCCCACTCCGGATCATCAGTCAACCAGTTATCCGAATCAGCTTACTGTTCCACTAATTTGTGGTAAATACATTTACTGTGTCAATTGGTTTGTGGAAATTTGGTGAGGCGATTTATGTAAATTAAAACGAAAAAAGCGTTTATGTGCCTTTTCATCTGATTTTAAGGCCCTGTCTTATGGAAGGGCCCTGTAATAAACTTCAATGAATTAGCATTTAATGAACTTGTTTTATTTAACAGGTTAATCCAGCCCTGGTAAGAGGGGGCAGAGATGGGGCATGATGAACCCAAACATCAGTTCTACTCACTCACACAAATCAAGTGGCAGAAAAGCTTCCTCTGTTTTGGACTCTGCGGCTTTCCATTTTCACAAAGGTCAACGTTGTCAAGACTGTATACTCTGGGCAAAGAACAGTAAGAATGAATTTCCAACAGAGTTGAAATTGATGTGAACGGTTTGTGTTGGGGTTTATGAGCAGATCCGCTAATCAGAGAGAGATTCTGTTAAAAAATTAAATATTTAGTGTTTTAAACGCTGGGGTGACGAAGCTTTAACAGTACTTAGGTTTTATTTTCATGTATTCATGGAATAAATGTTTCTATCAATTTTAAAATGCTGATATAGTTATTTACCCTGTTTCCTCTCCTCCATCTCTCTCTCACACACACACACACACACACACATGCTTCAGGTACAGCCGTCCTCGTGGCCTGTGATTGACTTGACAAACGTGCTGTGATAACATATACCCACCTGGTCTCATGTGGAAATCTGCAGGCTTTTCCTTTCAACACCTCTTCTTGCCATCAGTCATCACTGAAACCTGAGGCGCTCATCATTCTCAATAAAGGAAATAAATAAACAAAAAGCTGAATGTCACTCTCATCATTACGTGCACCATCCTTTATCATCATCATCACTGCTATAATTAGGATGATATATTTACATGTAGTTATTTCAATCCTTAAATATAACTGTGAAACATCATGTTGTGACTACAATGTTTTTTTAAACTAAATGGAATATCAGCAGAGCTGGACCGGTCCTGTCAGACCCTGGCATGGAGAAAATCGTCGCCACCTTTGTGTCTTCCCGCCTGCTCTGCTGTCAGCGTCTGTTGTCATGCCTTAGTCAGGCTGCAGTAAGGCCACTGCAGCTGCTGTGAAAGCTGTGAAAGCCACTGAGTTGAGTTAAGGTACTCCTTCACAAATCAAAATGCAGGCATGTAGTGGGGTTGCTTCAAAGGTAGAGTCTGTAATTCTGGAGAAAGATTAAGTGTGTTTTTTATAAATGAATAATGCTGGTTTCATCCAGCATTCGTAGCAATACCTATAAAAAAGAATGTGCCATAATTTGTATATATCCCACGAAATGATTTTGGATGTTATCCACATACTCATGAAAGAGGAAGTATAAAGAAAGCTGAAGCCCACACAAGGCGGGCGGGAGGGGTGATGGATGGGTCCAACAAACAGCGATCTTTCAGCTAAGAGTCCACTGTTTGTTCACTGTGTGCAACGAGAAGTCAACGTTGATGTAGTTGCGCGCGGCTTCAGCCGAGTGACGTAACAGAAATACAAACAATGGCGCCAGGGAAAGCATCTCACTTCTGGAGCGATGAAGGAACTGAGTTTTGTCCTTTTAGTAATGAAAGAGGCTGCAGAGCTTCATCCACTGCTCCCCTATCCCATTTAGTGGTGGTGCAACCTGATCTCATAGAAATACGTGAAATGACCTCTTAACAACGCATGATGTGGTGGTGGTGGGCACGTAATGTGTTAAAATAATGTGTCATATATTCGGGATATGAATATTGTGTTTTCTGTGTGCTCATGTAAACATCATATCCCGAATATGATCACAACTGGTAGTGTTCATATCCATGTAAACACACTCATTGTTAATATTTGAACTCAACACCCAGACAAACACCCCCCCTTCCAAGAACGTTAGCATGTGGCAGATTTTCCGTCCCTCTCGCTCCCACTGCCTGGCATCCGTGGCCTGTCCCCTGTCCTGTGCACAGCATGAATGCTTCCTGTTTCTGATTGGCTGATACAGTGCTGCGTTTGTCTCCCATTCACAGAGCCAGGGCTGTGTATGAGCACAGGGCAGACTCAGAACGGACAGCTAGCGGACCATGAGGGGATGTTTGCTCAATTTGACCAAAGGTGTTTTTGAATCCACCTTTAAGTTCAAGAAGGGAACTGCTTTGGCCACTATGCACCCAGCTGCAGCTCATAGGTCATCTAAGGACTGCTGTCTGCTCTTTAGACTCAAATCAAAAAGTGATGAAATGTTAAGAGCAGAGGAAAGAACACGTAAAGCAGAAAGATTTGCCAACAATACCAGAATGCCCAACGTGTCATCACAGTCCAGCCCCCTCAGCGTGATATATTCTGGTCATGCCAAAACTTCAATACATTGAAGCAGGCTGCCCTGCTTCAGTTTCATGGTCCAGGTATTGTGCATGCTGACTCACTGTCACACCATCACGCTTTACTGGGACACTTAAGTAGAACAGAGCCAATCGCTTTTAGTAACACCTGTAAATTATACTGTAACAAGTCAAAATGTCTGCTGTGAAGAAGAGCCTGTTCTTCTCCAATGGTCAGTCAAATGCTGGGTGGAAGAAGTGATGTCAATGTTAGAATGTCAATGTCAAAGCTGAGGTATAAGAAGCAGAGAAAGCATATTTATATATTTTCTACTGATGTATTTGAGGGTGTACTCCACATTACTGCACAGAGTCGTGATGGTTCTGTGTAGAAATTGTTTGTCTTTAGGTGAAACAGTAAAACTGTCTCTGTGAAAATACTTGAGTGGATATATATTCCTATATATATTGGAATATATATAGGAACATTACAGTAAATCATTGAATTAAAAACACCACATAATGGTCATAATTATTACTGAATTTATTGAGGAACCTTGAAACTTGACGTTATTGTTTGGGAATTCTGTATATAAATGTGATTCTCTCTCTGATAATAATGCCATTACTGAATGAGTGAGTGAGAGGTGAAGACTGAAGACAAGAAAGTAGGAGAAATAATGAGCGAGACAGAGGAGCCTGAGAAGAGGCCTTTCCTGCCTCCTAGTGGCGTCATGAGTAACAACAAGACAACAAAAGAGCTCCAGATATGCGTTCTACTTGGGGGACAACAATAAGATTGATGTGACTCCACATCTGTGCATGATAAAATATAGATGATATCCCATCGTAATTGGCTGTTGTAGCAGGTGCTCATCTAGAGTCTTTGTTATTCAGAAGAGTTCCCATCAAGGTGTACACTGAAGGTACTTATTGTACTGTGAATGGAAACCAAGGAGTACACTGAAATGCACAAAACGTGAAAAACCTGAGTGACATCATTTTCTTCTAGATGACTGGAACCAGATAGAATGATGATATAACTATAACAACAACAATAATAGTCATTTTGTTGAGAACAACAATTGCAATAAAAACAAGAGAAATTCAGATTATTTTGTGGACAAACATTACTTCGTTTGAGATCAGATTGAAGTGTGTGTCTGTGTTTATGTTGACTGTAGTGACGTAAAAGTCTCTCTCTCTCTGTCTCTCTCTCAGTCACACACACACACACACACACCTACACACACACAGACACACACACTCTCACACACACACACACAAAGGCAGTGAGGCAGCAGCAGCAGACGCTCAGTGCTGCTGTCAGTGTGCGGAGCGGAGGAGGAGGACCGACGGCATGCCTCAGCTCCGGGAATATATATCTCCCCTCAATCTCTCTCTCTCAAGCACGCTGCTTTTTTCTCCTCTTTTCCTGCATCGGGTTCACTTTGACCTGCGTCCTTTCTTTAGCAGAAGGCGATAAGGAAAGCCAGCCGTGCGTCATGGCGTCTTTGCGCATTTTTTCTGGATCTTTAAAAAAAAAGTGATTTATTTTGACCGGACTAAAATGAAGTGTTTTTTCTGTGTGGAGGAGAAGAGAGGCAGCGTTTCGAAGCTCGTCTCTCTGTGAATATTTGGCCGCAGCTGCTGGTGATATGCGTGAAGCCACTGAATGAATCTGTGCTCTCTAAAGGGAAACAGGGTTGCAGTAAGCGGCTTTTCTCCCCCTGATTCCCCTCCGTCTCTGACAATGTGTCAAGTCCATCCACCACACCGGATCCCGTTGATTTGCAATGGTTTCGCTTTTTTTCTTTTCCAGGATTGATTTTTTGGGATTTTTTTGGATTCACAGTGAAGGTCAGTGGAGAGAATTCACGGCCCCATTTTAACACCAAATAACGTCGGTGCGCCTGTTTTCTGCATGCTTGTGTGCTTGTTTGTGTGTAAGTAAGTGTTTGTGTGAGCGGCTCTACCTCCCTTTTCCCCTCTCCCTGCTCTGGGAACTCACCCCCTGATTTTTTTTTCTTTCCATCCAAGGCTCACGCTGCAGAGTTAAATGCTGGATCTATATTTCAGCGAACATTTTTGGCTGTAAAAATGCTGAGCTGCGTCCTCTTGCTGAGCGTCCTCACTGTCACCAGTCTGTCACCGTCTGAAACGGAGAGCCGCAAAACTTCCGCCTCCAAAGAGATCTGCAAGACCCGCTGCGCCTGTGAGGAGCGGGAGAACATTCTGAACATCAACTGTGAGAATAAAGGATTTACCACCGTCAGTCAGTTCCAGGCGCCCCCAAATAAAATCTCTCAGCTTTTTCTAAATGGAAACTTCCTGTCACGGCTCAGTGCCAATGAGTTTGTCAATTATGGCAATGTCACCTCACTGCATCTGGGGAATAACGGCTTGCAGGAGATCCGAACCGGAGCTTTCAACGGGCTGCGCTTCCTGAAGCGGCTCCACTTGAACAACAACAACCTGGAGGTGATTAAAGAGGACACATTTGCAGGACTGGAGAGTTTAGAGTATTTACAGGCAGACTATAATTATATCAGCGCCATAGAGCCGGGTGCTTTTAGTAAGCTGAATAAGCTCAAAGTGTTGATCCTAAATGACAACCTGCTGTTGTCTTTGCCTCCCAACATTTTCCGCTTCGTGCTCCTCACCCACTTGGATTTACGTGGCAACAGGCTCAAAATGCTGCCGTTTGCTGGGGTTTTAGAGCACATAGGCGGCATCATGGAGATCCAGCTTGAGGAGAATCCGTGGAATTGCACCTGTGATCTGATTCCCCTCAAATCCTGGTTGGACACTATTTCTGTCTTCGTGGGGGACATAGTGTGTGAGACACCGTTCAGGCTGCACGGTAAAGACATCACGCAGCTCATAAAGCAGGATCTGTGCCCTCGCAGGAATGCTGGGGAGCGCGTTCACCCCCCTTCCGACTCTCACTTTCAAGGGGCCCTGCCCCCGACCTACCACCCCGGCATGATCACCCCCACCCGTGCCCCGAAAGCTTCCCGCCCGCCCAAAATGCGCTACAGGCCCACCCCGCGCATCACAAAGGACAAACATGTCTTTGGACCTATAATGGTTTACCAGACAAGGTCCCCTGTGCCCATGTTATGTCCCACTGTGTGTGTGTGCACGTCACAAAACCCTGACAGCGGATTGAACATCAATTGCCAAGAGCGAAAGTTGCACAACATCAGTGAGCTGAACCCCAAGCCCTCCTACCCAAAGAAACTCCACCTGACCGGCAACTACTTACAAGTGATTTACAGAACTGATCTCACTGAGTACAGCTCACTGGAGCTGCTTCATTTAGGAAATAATAGGATAGCAGTGGTTCAGGAAGGTGCATTCGAGAATCTAACCAACCTCAGACGGCTCTATCTGAATGGGAATTACATTGAATCACTCACTCAATCACTCTTCGCTGGCCTGCAGTCGCTCCAGTATCTGTATTTGGAATATAACATTATCAAAGACATTTTACCACAAACATTTAACTCTCTGCATAACCTTCAGCTGCTTTTTTTGAACAACAACCTGTTAAGATCGCTCCCAGACAATGTTTTTGGGGGCACCATGCTAACACGACTCAACTTGAGGAATAACCATTTCTCCTACCTTGCAGTTCGAGGGGTCCTGGACCAGCTTTCAGCATTTATCCAGATCGACCTGCAGGAGAACCCCTGGGACTGCACCTGTGATATCGTTGCACTCAAAAACTGGATGGAGCTATCCAGTACCAGCGTAGTGGTAAACGAAATCACGTGTGATTCACCCTCAAAACATGCAGGTCGTCTGCTGCGCTCACTTCGCAATGAGGCCATCTGCCCTGAGCCCAGCGAGGTGCCCCCACCACAACATGCACCCCCTACAAAAGCCCCCACATTAATAAGCCCTGGCACCGAAGCCACCACACCTTCCTCTTCTTCTTTTAGCTCAGTCAGCCCCACAGAATCCCGAATCCACACTCCCGAGTTGCACCCTGAGGTCCCACTTTCAGTCCTGATTCTTGGACTTCTTGTTGTTTTCATCCTGTCGGTCTGCTTTGGCGCAGGCCTCTTTGTTTTTCTTCTGAAACGACGCAAAGGAGTGGAACATGTCCCCACAGGCGCTAACAACTTAGATCTCAACTCTTTCCAAGTGCAATATGGCTCCTACACTCCTGAACCAATCCAAGACAAAACCACTGAAAGCCACGTTTATAACTACATCCCTCCACCTGTGGGCTCTATGTGCCAAAATCCTATTTACATGCAGAAGGATGGTGAACAGATGGCGTATTACCGCAACCTGAAGGAGCTCAGCTTTGGGCCTCTGGACGCAAAGAAGGATGTCCTCACCTGCAGCCCAGGGGCCTACACCATCAGCACAATGGATTTTATGGATAAATCTCCAACATCCTGCGGTTTGACCACCCCAGAACCTCCTGAGATGTTGTATCAAAATTTAGGGGAGAGGCCCCACAAAGAGCTTCCCATGGCTGCAGGCGCACCCCCTTTCCATTACAACTTTTGCACTTTACCTAAGAGACCTTGCATCGTGCCCCCCTATGAAGCCGCTACAGCCCGGCGGCACATCACCAACCAGGACAGGTTGAACAAAACTGTGCTGTACGGGACCCCCAGGAAATACTACGGGGCTGAACACCCTTCGAGAAACAATGAGCACCCGCTTCTGCTCCCTGGGAAGCTAAAAAAAGAACCAGACTACCTGGAGGTTCTGGAGAAACAGACAGCGATGAGCCAACTGTAAGATAGTGCCCCACCCATCTCACCTCCCCCAGGTTCTGTGCACCATTCATAATAATTACGCAGTTACTGTAATAATAGCCCTCTCTATATATCTATGTTATCTATCTGTGTTCAATCCTACATGATTAACTGGAGGCCAAACGAGTCCTTTGGTGATCGTTTTCCTCTCTTCCTTTTCTTCTCTTCCTTTCTTTTCAAGATGTATAAAAGGAGAATAAGAAGTATATTATTATGCACTTCTATTTTTTCTCCTGGAAGGTATATATTATTTCTTCTTTTTTGAAAAATGAAATTCCAAAAGACTTTGACGACGGCAGGTATACAATGGGCAGGACTGTGTACAATTGCGGCTTTGTGCTTTTCATGAAACTGTATTTTATTTTCCCTGTGAAAAACAGAAAACGTATGAAATCACTATTCTTTGTAGAAGAGTACATGCTACAGATTTACATTCCTGTACATACTTAGCATACATAGATAAATGGTGAGTGTTAAACAATGAAGAGACCTTTTCAAAATCCAACAAGCGGCAAAGCCTTCCCATACCTAATCCAGAAAGTGCCTTTGCACTCAACTATTTTATCAATAATGCTCTCTGCAAAATGGAAATGTTCCTTTTTTGAAAGTGCTGTATTTTAAAGAATCAAATCTTTATGTAAAATAGAGACTTATTTGTCTGTTTAAAAAGAAAAAAAAGAAGAAAAAAAAGAACTTGAGACTGGGTGTAAAATGATATGAGTTCTTGATGGTAAGAAAATGTTATTTTGCTTTGATTATGAAGAGTGTTTGGAGATGTACAACTTATAGAGAATATTGTATGCTATAGGGGAGCAATGGAGCGCGGCGAAATTGCGCCATTAAACTTTCACTGAAGCACTTTGTCAACATTCTGAGCATGAGGTACATTTTGTTTACACTGTGCTTGATTGTGTTGGATGTGTGTTGATGTGTGTGCTATGGACTGCTCTCCAGTGTGTCTAATGTGTGGTGGGAGCCAGAGAAAATGAAAATAGAACTTGCCTGAAGCTGACACATTATTTCGAATTTTTCACCAAATTCTCTCACCTCCCCCTGAAATATCCACTCCATCCATCTGATGGTGCACAGACAACACTGTTTGATGTGGAGGGTCAATATCTTTCTTCCAGTGAGGATGTGTCAAAATATCACCAATTACAGTAAAGGGATTGTGAGATATGTAGCTTGAAAAATGTGGCATTTTTTTTAACAACTGCAGCTTATCATTGTAGTCTTACAAGAGAGAAGAATTGTCATTAGTATAGCAATTAACTGCAGTGAATTGCCCCTTGTGGATAAGCAGTAAAAGGAAATGTGGTGGTGATGAGAATGGAGGGTAGTCTGCAGTCAAGAGTAGAAATCCTGTCTCACAAAATGCAGTATTCCTCCTGCCGTTTAAAAATGACACCAGTTATGTTGATTGAAAAAAAGCAGCATTTTTTAACAACAGCTGCTTCTCTGGCATTGAGATCTTACAGGGGACAATAATTGCCATCATTATGGCAAATGAAAGTCATTGATTGTGGATAAGCAGAAAAAGAAAATGTAGTCTGCAGCAGAAAGAGCCCCGACTCTGCCAGACACCATTTTGAAAGGAAATACAGCACTTCTTTGCAACCTGCTGTTCCAAAATAAGTTGCAAGTTTGTGCACGTGTGCGTATTATCATCCACTGTGCCGAGGCCTGTCTTCCTGTCTTCCCCAGCCGTGTGACATGAATGAACTGTGCTACCCGCTCTAATGCTAATTTTGTTTTCTGTCCTTCGACTCAAGTTGACATTGGCTCTTTGTATCCTCTGTGAATGGCCTCCCAGTGGCCAAACCCCCCCTCCCCTCCCATTTCCCTTTTGTATGCCCAGCGCCCTCCTACACCTCCTCCTGTCTTTTGTTCTTGTGTTCCCCCCCCGTTGGATCTCCCCTGGCTATTGTGTAGCTGTCCAAGGTGCTGAAACGTTGCCGGCAACAGAGCAGAATTCCAGTCTGACGGCTGGGACTGGGAAGCCCTACGCTAAGGAGACGAGTGAGTTCATTTTTTGAGAGTTAGGTTGCAAAGTCTGTGAGTAAAAAAAATTGTCGGGACTTTTTGTTTTGCTAAAAATCCTTTTCCCAAAGAATAGTCTAAGCTTGAGGGTTTTGGGGGATCCCTATTGCAGGTAAGCTGGTTGTATCTGCTGATCTTAATCTTTGTGTCGGTCACTATATGGGTCCACTGAAGGAATACAGCACATTGGAAACAGTCACTTGGTGGCTTTTTGTGAAACTCTCCACCACCTGTTACGGTCTTCCTTTGCTTCCTCCAGTATTCCTTTGCTCCTTTTGAAAACTGGTCTTCTGAAGACTGTGAATGCAGTTTAAAGCTCCCAAGATGTTTTGGCAGATATGTGGGTTTTCTATTGATACAGAGAATTTGCTTTGTAACTGTTCCTTATAAGCGAATGTCGCTGTTCTTTGTAGTGTTCTTTGAGTTAACAGTTAAAAGATCATTATGATGTATCTATAATTCAGCCTTATTTTCTTGATGTTAGCCATTATTCGTTATGTTTACGACTTCATTGTACTCACCAATCTGATCGCTGTAATATTGGAAGGGTGATGTTGCCTCAAGAAACATGAGCAGCCAAATAAATTTGCTCAGATTATACAACAGGTGATTACAATTGTAGCAAATAGACAGCACCATGAAACTTCCCCAGTTGATTCATTATATGAATACAAATATGTCTTGGGTTACAAGTCGTCCTAAGTTTTATGTTTATATAAATGTGGCATTTTTCTTATCAAATATGTGCTAATCTGCACACATTTTCATTCCAGAAATCTTTAAATTGGATAAAGTCAGGTTCTAAATTCATGTTTTATTTTTGTTGAAATATTAGTCAAAGATTTTTACAGAAGGAATTTGTATCTCTTTGTATCACTGCATCAATCAGAAAATACTGTCAACAGCCATACAAAAATACATTCACCATGTTTTCAGTGGAAAAATGTAATGAATCTCTGGGTATGAATGACATATGAACAAACCCCTCTGTAAAAACCTTCACAATACAGAGAGGAATGAAAGTGGAATGTTTGGTGGATGTAAGTGCTACTGAAGTTAGGATTTCTAGCTCAGAGTGAAAAAAAGCGAATTTCGAGAAAACAGCCTTTAAAGAGATGTTTTGTATCGTTAAATTCGATACAATGTGACACTACAAGTAAGGGTAAAAAAACCTAGTATTTATCACCGTAAAACTTTCCCGGTTGATTACTTACATTAAGACGATTATTGTTTGTATTACAAGATTTCTGACTTTCGGTGAATTTAGTAGAAATATACAGACGCAAATAGACAAAGTAGTAAAATACACACTTGAATGTGTATTTTTGATGTTTCCTTTCCACTAGTCTGAAATAAAAAATGTTATGGAAGCAAAATGGTGAACATTGATAAGATGTTTTTGATGAGTGTCTCCCCTTTGGAGGTAAAAGCAAACCCACACAATGTCTCATTGTCTAGCTGTTTTCATATGTAGTGTATAAAGACATCAACACAAAGTGATGCAATGCAACGTATGTTGATTTCTTTATCACTCATGTCAATTAAACAGCAACTTCAGATTTTTTTACCAAATTCTTTGTGCAAGGCATGGCGGTGAATTATTTTCCATGAACAGCATGTTGAAAAATATCCTTTATTTGAGTCTACTTAATTCAGCCATTTCAACTGTTTGAACACACGTACTACTGAAAACCTTCCTATTATTAGCGTGTTTTAAGGAACTGGGAGACAACAAATGTCGTAGGTCAAAAATAAATCTGTTACTCGCGACACTTGCAACTGATGTTATTAACAGATATATTGAGTACGAATTCCATTGTTTGCTTTAGCTTTCGTTGTCAAATGAAATGGTTCAACTTTGTTAACAACTGATGCAATGTTATGATTATGTTATCTTGATAATGAAGGCTTTCCTCCGTCATCACATCTGCTGTCCCAGACTCCTCGGAGCTACATTCATATCCATCCATTTAGTAGGAATTAGGGCATTCATATCAGAGAATCCCCCACTGGTTCACAATTCTTCTATGATAGATTGTTTCAATAAACTAGTATTACCAAGCAGGAACCTCAGTTTCTCTCAGTAAGTAGAGTTTTGGATAATATTGTTTGCAGCAAAATTGTGTTCTAGAGCGAAGGAGCTGCAGCTCTGAACATCTGAAAAAAAACCCGTTCTCCTTTAATGTTGTTTTGCTGTTGCTGCTGCATGAAACACCTCATTTACCACAAATCCTGATATTTTCTCGAACCCTTTATGCATTCCTTGTGGCCCCTAAGTGCCATAACTTTTTTTAGAAGCCGTATCGAGTTGCTTTCATCCGTGGCTTCTGGTGCAAAGGCACACGGCGAGCAGGGGAGATGCTGCGGTAAGCAAAGCTGTGAATGCTGTCATGTGGGCTTCCTTTTTAACAAGCTTTGCCATTTCAGCTGCTGTGTGAATGGAAGGGAGAAGAAAGAGAGTGTGAGAGAGAGAGAGAGAGAAAGAGAGAGGTTGGGGGAGATAAACGGAAGGAGAGAGAGAGGGAGAACTGTTCATTCCTCTCCTTTTCTGAAAATGGAGTGATTTTCCTTCCTTGGGCACAATAGGTCCTCTGTGTCTTTTTAGTGGCAGTGAAGGAAAGAGAGGGAGAGCTTGCATGCGCGTACATGCACACACAGACACACACTCACACACACACACTCACACACACACACAGGGGATATATGGGAGGGTTGGAACATGTGCAGTCTTGCACACCAATGAGGACACTTTCTCCCCAGAACACTCCTCTCTTATCTTGCAGCCATGGGACTCGCATGTGTGTGTGTGTGAGTGTGTGTGAGTGAGTGAGTGAGTGACTGAATGACTGAGTGAGTGCATGTATATATATATATTCACATACTATGTGGATCTCTGCAGAGGTGTTCTCTTTTTTCTCCTTAGATAAGATTGAAATGTATAAATGGGTATTTTGTGGATAAAGCTCTCCCTTTCTTCCACTCTGTCTACCTCTCTCGCCCCGTCCCTCACTTTGTCTCCCTTCTTTCTGTCCCTCTTTCACAATGATATGATAGAGGACTTGGACTTAGGAATTGGTATTCCTAAAGTGTGGCTCAATATGTGGATAAGCGATTCAGGGATGACTTTGAAGCATATGGGCTGTTGCTTTGAGTTGATTTATAATAGCAGTTTCCAGAGCCTTTTCTGTACGTGTGTGTGCGTGTTGGAGTTTTCTGACTTTTGTGCATTATGTTGTGTGTGATGGCTTTCAAACATACGATTGTAATCATTTCGCCGCAGATTGCTGCAATCCATTTTCCATTTCTCACTGCAGTGTGTGTACGTGTGTTTGCTCCATTATGTATGTATCCTTATTTCACAAGTCAATTTAGCCCTTCCCCCTTTAACTCATATTCAATTATGTTCACATTTTCATGAGCTGTCATTTCTTATTCTGAGGTTTGTGTTTTATTTTAGCCACTGCACAGTGCTTTCTGTTATTTATTTTACTTGATGTTTTACTATCAATTACCTTAAATTGTGTAAAAGAGAGCTGTGCTATCATTTCAGAACATTTAGAGCATCTAGTTGGTAGCCTGACAGACAAAGATTACTGCTTCATGTGTCGTCTCTCTGCTGTTTCTTACAGAGGTTGTGGGACTTCTGTCTCTGTTTGGGGTTTGCGATAGTCTTAGAGGACATTGTGTAGGGTTGCATTTCAGTTTATTTATGTTGTTACGCGGGGCCGGATTAACCTCCTTTGGGGCCCTTGTTAAGCCTCCCAGAACCAACTGGTGCTATATACTGTATATGGTAATTAAAAGTGCCATGTTAGCAAAATAACAACTAAAAGTTAAAACTAGAATTTGACACTCAGCCCCTTAACAGGACAGGGTGTTAAGATTACGAAAAATGCATTTCAGTGTTTTCAGCAGATCATTTGGGGATTTAGGGGCCCTTGAAGGTTTGGGGCCTCAGGCAGTTGCTTGCTTTTACAGTTGGTAATCCTGCTTTGCCTGTAGGTTCTTCGATCTTTACTTTGTCGCATCAATGTCTTTTCTACTTTCTAAAGGAAACTCTTCATACTAGACACTATACTAGTGTTGGGCAACGATTACAATTTTTAATCGCGATTAATCGCATTGTTATGCGCAAAGTTCAATAATGAATTCAAAAGTAGTGTATTGCGCACTTTTATTTTAAAAGTACTGCTATATGAACAAAAGTGCAATAACATTTGGTTTGCAAACACTTTAAACAAATCAGGTTCTTGTTAACAGCAGTATTCCCTTTACACAGTAGTTATAACACAGTTATAATGATTCTGATGATAGATATTCAGCCGGTGTTCACAACTTTATCTTCATGTCTGTAAGAGATACAATTAGAAATATACACCTTGAAAACTGCAAACCTATCTACGTCATGTTTTTTATGTTTGTTAAATTCTCAGTAGCGATAACTAAATGATGCTTATTATACATATTACAAACAAAACACTTTAAAAACTAATATAAATGAATCATTTATTTTTTGCTTTTTTTTGTATTTTGGTCAGACACATATGCAACGCTGATTACCGTAATATGTGTGGTATTTGTTATAAATGTACGTTGGTACATAGAGGGTGATAAGAAGCTGTACCTGGAGGGACTTAGGACCCAGGGGAATGTAGGTGAAGCATGGAACCTGTAGTCTGTACCGTGGCAGTAACGTGCATGAGGAAGTTATCCTAATAAAGAGTTGCAGTGAAGAGCAGTTTGTTCTCTCATGCTTATGTTTATTTAAAAACACGACAATATGTATTTTGATATTGTCACGATCCTGTAACAAGACGATCGCGCGCGCGCGTGTGGGTGTGAGAGAGAGAGAGAGGAGGGACCGACGGTGACGGAGTGAAGGGGGCTTCCGGACCGGCATGTCACCCGGTGGGGGGGGGTTTATTTAAAAAAATAAAAACTGCATTAACGCGCGATAATATAATTGCCGGCATTCATTAATTAATGCGTTAACGCGATAATAACACGTTAACTTGCCCAACACTAATAAATACACATACTGGGTTCATACATAATTCATAGAAGGCGGGGCAGAGTGTGTTCAATAGGAGACTAACAGATAATATGTTCTAATAATAGCTGCTACTGATTGAAAATTAAGCAACCTTCAATTAACACTTGAGTAGGACTCGATTTAGAAGTAAGTAAGTGAAATGTATTTATAAAGCTCTTTTCACAGACAGTCACAAAGTGCTTAACATAAGTAGTATTACAAACAAAAAAGCACAATGTGACCACATAAGGGCCAGTAATTAGGGCCTGAGCACCGACGTAGTCGGAGCGGAGGACCTATTGTTATTCTAATGAAATCCAAAGAATTATTATTATGCCGTTGCCTCTAAAATCACATTTTTCAGGGCTTTATCATACTCAAAAACTCCCCAAATTTGGCAGGCGTATCAGGACTGCGTGAAAAAATCATGTTAACTTATCGTGTTAAGAAGATATGGACCAATGAACTTATAAGGGGCGTGGCCCTGTACATCAATCAACCTAACTTTAAAACAATTGTGCCAATCACGAAATTTGAGACAAATTGCAGCCTGTAACATACCCGTCACATTTTCATTTCCTACAGCCACTAGGGGGCGCTACAGTAGTTAGCTCTTTTGGGCCATTTTTCCCGTTTTCAGGCTTTGTATTTTCACGAATTCCTCCTACAGTATTTATGCGATTGGCTTCAAATTTGGTCAGCACAATCTTAACACTTTTAGAATGAGTTTTCATGCAACAACCTTGGCGTGGCGTGGCATCTATTTTGTCCAACTTTTCATTAAAATTTAAGTTGTTGTAACTCCAAGGTACATTGTCAAATCTGCCCAAAATCTCTTCTTCTGGATGCTAGTCCAGGCCTGAAAACATTCCAATGCCTCAATTTTGACATAGTCGTTGC